CTGGTGGCTTGAGGAGAACCTGGCAGAGGTTGGGCGCTGGAAGCCACATCCTCGCCTCTGAGGGACAGGGAGAGCCTCGCTGCACTCGCGCACGTACCAGCACCCTCCACCCCACACGGAGGGGCCCGAGAAGCAGGACACAGCATGGGACAGGTCAGCAGGACATGCCAGGGGACACGCAGCACGTCCCCCAACAGCTCAGGGCTGCTGACGGGGGCACAAAGGAGCAAGCTGGACGCAGCTCCGGCAGGAATCAAACGCCCCAGCTGGGGCGAGGCCGTCACTGCTCAGATAACAGGGCTAAAAGCTGCTGTCTGGACCTCAGCTAAAGTTTCCAGCAACTCTTGTTCCCTCGAGGGCTACGGAGCCCGGGCAGAGGCCACCAGAGCCACCCACCCTGTCCATGCTTCTGCCCCAGCTGCCACAAGTGCAAGAGAGACACATTCCCGACGTCTGCTTTCGTCCAGGGGACCAGACAGACAAGAACTGGGTCTTCTGCTCCTCCTTTAACACCCAACATGTAAACTAGTTCCAAAGATTTTTACCTATTGCTTTTGCCAAGTCCCTGCTACCAGGGACACGCTGGCAGGGAGTCCTGCAGGCTGCTCGGGGCCACGCTTAGCTGCGATCTTAGCTGCACTCCGGTGCCCCCCCAAACCTTGTTCCCTATGGACGAGCTTGCTGGAGCCCTGCGGGAAGCTCTGGGTCAAGGGAAGGGCAGCTTGTCCCAACCTGCAAGGACGCGCCTGCCCTTGCCCCATCCTCCCCAACACAGCTCCTCTGGAAGGCTGGAAGTTGCTCTGGGAGCCCTATTAGCCCCAGCCCGCCGTTCCTCGCCTCGCTACCACACAGCCGGCTCCCTGAGCTCTGGGCAAGGTCCGACACTTGTGTTTTCCCCCGTTTGCAGTGATTGCAGACCCAGGACGTGAGCCCTCGCTGCAGAAAACCCTGGGTGGCAGCAGGTGTTAATTCCCCCGACCCTATCTCAGTCCTCTCGGACCTGCTGCTCCCACCACACGCTCTCAGAGCCCGCCTGCCCCTCCTGCAGCTCTGGTTTTCTCCTCCACAGTGGGACTGCGCCAGGATCTCCTCGCGGATGGCTCGATCCTCGGCTCTCGCCATCCCTTGCTCGCCATTCACACACCAGCTACACAATCCACTCGCTTTACAGCTTCCTGCCCAACCTTCCTCCATATCCCTCCATCTCCAAGCACTGCAGGAATCTACCAGTTTTACAGAGATGATTTAAGTTACATTTGGGGGGTAAAAAAAAAAAATAGAATCTACCTTTAACTGAACCAGAAACATCCTTCTGCATGTATCCAACCTACCTCTAACAGCTTCTCCCAGGAACCAAGTAGTTCTCTCTGGTTGTGCTACTCAAAGCCACCTTGCCGTGCCTACAAGGGAACTGCTGTACCACAGAGGATCCCTCAGGTGGAGACAAAAGAGGATCTGAGAGTCACTATCTGGACGCAGGGACCTGCAAGCAGGGAGCTGGGGTCGTTCGGCCGCGCCAGCAGCAGTCCTGAAGTCCCATGGATACCTGCGAGCGCCCGGGGAGCCTGGGGGAGCATGCTGCTGCGTACAGGTGGACAGTGTTACTCTGAGCATTTATTGCACTGCTTCAAAGAGGTTGGAGGAGGAACAGGAGAGTGAGAGAGAAAGCGCAAGTCATCGCTTCACTTTTGCGTCTTCTTTGATCTTCCAGACCATCAGCTCCATGCAAGCTCGGGCGTCCTCGCTGGAGTCGTGTCCTTCCACTGGGGACAGAAAGACAAGGGCGGTGGTTACTGGCAGCCCCTGAGAAAAAGCTTCCCGAGGTCCTGCCTGACGCCGCTCACTGCCACAGGAACCAGAGCTCCATCCCTGCTCATCGTGAGCCACAGGGACGGATTGCAAGCAGAAGAATTTCCACTAAATGCATTTTTTGCCAGATTTCAGCCTGACACCGTTCCCTTATTTGAATTAAGGGCTGAAGTCTTGCTGCCTGCAGGCCCTCAGGCTATGGAGGAGCCGGTCAGAGAGGCCCTGGTTTCCCCAGCGGTACGATCACAATGTGCTCAAGGAAGACAGAAGGGAACGTGCCGTGCTTCAAACAAAAAGGTCAACGTCAGTTTGCCAGAGAAAGAGGAGGGAGGGCACGTCATGGCCTTGACAGAGCTACCTCTGGCCTACTCACACCACTTTTCTGGTCCCACTTAGCACAGAGAGGGAAGAAGCAAGTGGTGCAGGCTCTCAGAACAGGGTTCAAACTGCAACTGCCTGTGGCAGAGGCTTCACGTGCTGGCATGTTCACAGCTACCGCCAGCCACGATGCAGGAAAAATATAAATCAGGAGCAAGAGGCTTGGGGAGAGCAGAGGAAGGCAGGTGCAAGGAGCCCACGTGTAGGTGGGAGGGGACACGAGACCCTCGCTCTCAGCCACTCCGGGGTCTCACCATTGTCCTGGATGATGCGCTTGAGGTAGTCTGCCATCAGCGTCCGGAGAGCCCGTTTGTAAGGCAAACCCAGGCGGTGGGGAAAGACGATCGCGGTATCCACCACTGTGCCATGGATAAGCTGGAGGGAAGGAGCAGGAAAGAAACACGTTTATTTTTCCCTCTCCCACAGGGACGGGCACTCCTTAGGATTACCCACGCTAAAGCAATCTTCCGGTCAGGCTCCCGGGCTGTCACCAAGCTCCAACCCAACCAGTCTTGCAAGAGGCTCTGGTTGAATCAAAGATGATTTCCCCCTCAGAGGGCACGTGCCCACAAGTTTCCCAAAGCTCTGCGAGCCAGCAGCCCTGCCCTGCCCGCCCTGCCCGACTGCACCTTCAAAGCAGGGGAAATTCAGGGCTGCTTCTGTTTGTACAACTCAAACAACAGGACAGGTCAATCCTTAATACCCTGACCTGGAGAAGCCGGCATACATCTGCGTCTTTCACAACGAAAAACAAAGCCTGAGGAACCAATCGGCCCCACGGAGCTTTTAACAGCCTTTCAACTGCTTCTCATGATGTGGAGACAAGTGGGAAGGATGTGCAAGTCGAAACTGCAGCTAAGCCACTGTACTTCTACAAAAAAGGCCCAACCTTCAAGGTGTGAACCAACCCGAAGACCTTCCCGTCTGTCAGCAACGAGTCAACAGGAAGTTTTTAACCAGCACCAGGAAATTTTTAATCAGCCCCGACGTCGCAAGGATGCAACAGGACAAGGGGATCTCAAACTTCAGGGCACAGTGGATGAGAGAGAGGCCCCTCCTGGTCCCATGTCCCGGTCAAAGTGCCTGGGCACATGGGAGAGGCAAGAGGTTTGGTGTCCTCTAGGTATGAAATGTCATCATGCTGGAAGAACTGATGATGCTGAACAGGTCGAGGTGTTACCTCCCCTGCACTGAGGGGCCCTGCAGAGGACCAAAAGGTCATGAGAGTCCATAAACACAAGGCAAGCTGGTTTTTTTAAAATACTAACTTCTTACTCTCCAGGTTAAGACAACACTAAACCTCTGCAGCCAAGCACACGTGTTCGGCGAGAGCTAAAGGAACGCAGATGTTGGCAGTGCCAGGCCTGCAGGACAGGGGCAAAACACGAGGTCTGAAGAGATAAACCTGCCCGCCCGACCAAAAATCCTCGGCACGGGCTGACTCAGACAGGACCTTGATAATCCAGTCTCCTCATCCGCCTCGACTCTTCCCAGGCCCCAGCTAATGTTGCGTGACAATGCGTAACTTGGCTGTTAATAGTTTCACAGCCCAGCTCTGTAAATGCCCGCAAACAGCTGCGGTTTAACAGAAACAACCTGCTACGCTCCTCGGAGTATAAAACTGCCAACGTTACGGATAATGTCTCCGAGACTGCAGTGAAGCCTGGCACCCGCCCAGGCACAATGATAATTACTTATGTAGATCAGGAAGACTGAGGAAACGGGATAATATAGCTTTAAATAAAAATTGAAATGCTATCACCATTTGGAGCTTGCCATGGCCATTAGCGAGATGTCGACTTTACTGCCACAGCCCTCAGCCGTTACGACTTGACACGCCACTGCCTGTCACGCTCTGCTATATCGCTCTCGGGTTCGCTCTCTTGGCAGCGATGCTAAGAGAAAATCATGCCTCTAAGAGGCCAACGCAGCCATCTCGCGCTGATAAAACTGTAAATAATTTTTTTATGATGACGATGAACTCTGAGAGGCTCGGAAAAAGGGTGCCACGGAGAGGTAAAAGCGCTTTGCAGGCATTAAAACCTCCTGCTTCCAAACCACCACCGTGAGTTGGCAGCTACAGCTTCTTCATCAAAGGAGCTGCACGATAAATAAAGGCTGGAGGAAGTTCTGGCTCGTGAGCACAGACTGAAGACTCGGCTCCTGCCTGCCGTGTGCTTTCTTGGTGACCCTGGACAAGCCCCTGGGGGATCGACGTTCAGAACGGAAGGGAAGAGGGGCAGCCCTCCGAGAGATGCGCAGGCTCGACCGACGCGGGCCAGGTGGGAAACGAGACAGATGGAAGGTCAAAACAGCTTGATCCAAGTAACATCACAAATCGCGGCAAACCGGGCAGAGAGAACCCCAACTCAGAGAAAACGGACAGTGGAAGAGAAACCACGAGAATTATCTCCAGTCACAGAGCAGCAAAGAGGCTCGTTCTGTTTCTGAAAGTGTGAGCATCCAGAGGGTGCAGGGGACTCCCTGCTCATGCCCTGACCCTGGCTGAGCACATCGTCAAGCCAGTCAAAGGATGCTGACACCAGCGGAGAATTCTGGACTATATGGCAGGGGTGAAATGATTTGACCTCAGTCCTTCCAGCCGGCCCTGCTCTATTCACCCTCCCCAGCCAAGCAGGGCAGCAGCAGTCGCTAAAAGCTGAGGTGACACCACGGGTGACACACACGACCTGCTCCCTTGCTCTTCCACCACAGGCAGCTCTCCTGCTGGCCCAGAGCCGAGACAGACCTCCTGCATCCTCCTGGTTCTTGGAAATAAAGGGCTCCTCAGTTTCAAGGAGGCCTACACCACACAGCAGGGCAGGAAAGGACCGGAGGCAGACGGGAACGCAAGACACGCAAGTTACCTTTAGTGCAAATAAGTCGCTTTCCAAGCTGTGCCCTATCAATATGGTATCTGCACTGAACATGTTCAGTAGGACGGCCTGGACATCCCGCAGGGTGATGCTAGTGTTCTCCAAGTCCTCTTCCGTCACACCGGAGAATCTGCAGAGCAGGAGCAGAAAGGAAAGTCTCCTTCACCAAAGGAAAGCCTCAAGGCCCAAAGCACCTCAGCTGTTAGGAAGCAGAGCTCCAACTAGTGCTCCCAGCCAGCTCCCGATCCCCAGCACAGACCTCTGCCCCACGGGAGACCGTCCTCACCTGGTGTTATAGTCCACCACCTTGGTGTCCGGTTTGACGAAGGTGTCGTACACCACTTTCAGGTCCGAGTTGATCACGGTTACTCTCGTCAACTCCAGCCCTTGCTTCGTGTAGCACTGCAAGCAACGGAGCAGACATGAAGACAAGCGTCTGCCCATCGCGGGAGCGACGGAGCCGCTGGCCAAAGCGATGCAGCTCCCGCGACGCGGCACACCCGGTGTAGCAGGGCCAGCCAGCAAGCACTGCTCAGCACCAGCCAGCTGGGTACAGCGCCTCCAGGGTGCACGTAGCCCCCAGATGAAACACGTGTTGCTAAAACTAATTAACAAGAGCTTATTTAAACGTACAGGCCCACTATGATTTACAGTTCACAGCAGAAAGGAAAGAAGACGAAGAAACAGAGCTCTCCTTCGGCCACTTGTATCACACCCTCGGCCTTCCCCCCAACATCCTTTATTTCGCCCGTGCGTCGCCCCTGCTGTCTGGGACCCACCATTTCACAGTCCAACGCGTAGATTCCGGGGTAGCCATCAGTCGTAGGCAGCTTCTCAAAAGTCTTCACAAAGCCATCGAGGCTCTCCTTGCGCCCATCGTGGACATGTTGCTTAAAGACAAAAAAAAAAATAAAGGACAATTGTTCATGGTAGGAACAAGAATCCAAAGAATCCACTTCACAGAGCATCCTACTTAAACAAACAGACTTTTCTTCATCATTTCTACAGGCTAACAAGGAGTAAGTTTTGCCTACAGGTCAGGTATTTACCTCAAGAGCAAACACAGCCACGTGCAGCCCCGATTCCAAAGCCAGACCAGGGTTAGGGGCATCATATTGACAGCACACGCAGAGGCAAGACACCACACATCCAGGGACAAGCAGCTTTCAGCTTTCAATTCTGACTAGAATTACTCAGAAATGGTCACACCAAGGTCTTGCACTCCAGCTGCTGGTTCCTGGTTTAGCTTGTGGCTGAGACGTGCCCAGGTGCAGGATTCTAATCGCAGCCATCCCTGTTGGAGCACCGGCACCGGGTGTTTCACAGCCCCCAGAAATCAGGGTGAGGAAGTACCAGAAAAAAATTCAACACGTGTGTACAGATAAAAGCCACCCTAGCCCAACACTTGGCTGTTCAGAGGGAAACAGGAGCTACTGCCTACCAGCACCTGAGGCAATAAACTGAGAGGATTTTCAACCACTCTTCATTACCCCCAGCTAAAGCTCTAGGGTCAACCAGATCCAGCCCAGAAGAGCTTCCTGAGCGAGCAGGAAAACTCGGGGAGCGATTTCGTAAGTAGCTGAAGCCAATGCAAGATTAAGCCGCTGTTACAACAGGTGCTCCCACCCTCCTCTGCAGCCACAGATCCCACCCTGCTTGGTCAGCCTGAAAGTCTTCTTGGCAGGGGGAATTTTAAAGCAGGTGATTGCGCTGATGCGGGTACCTGCGCCAGGGGGGAAGCAGGAACACGTAATTGAGGGCAAGGCAGAGATTGCAACTGCCCTTTTGCCCACTAACGTAGTTTTAGGTCAAATGAAACTGCTGCAACCACACCCAGAGGCGATGCTTGTTCTCCCTTACTCCCCAGCGGGGTTTTTTGTTTTGTTTGAAGCTTTGTCTGTCCCGAAATCTCAACATATTTGCGCACAATCACAGCCTCCTCCGCTGGGCTTCTCACAGACCTCCCCCTGCAGGGACTCAAACTGTACTTGTTCGTCTCGGGTCAGAAAGGCTGGAAAGATGAGGAACTGAGGCACTGGTAGAGCTGAAACCTGTACGGATAACCAAAGCGAGGGTTTGTGTATTTTCCTGCACAGGTTATTACTGCAGGCGCAGCCAGAGCAGAGAGAACAGCATCATTTGAAGTTAACGAGGCAGCTGGGCCAGCGCTGAGGCCAATCTCTTCCTGGAACCAAAGCTCAAAGGCCACCCAGCTCGTTGCTTCCCAAGAGCAAGAGGCCACACTTGCCCATTCTGCAGCCGTGCTCACAAATCCCAGTGTTTTGCTAAAGAAAAGGGTAGAGCAGATGACCAGGCCAGCAATACCTTCCACATGTCCGTAATACAAGATAACCGGACAGCGAAGGGAAAAATCAGCCAGCTGCTAGCATTTGTCTTGATGTTCTGCAACTGCCCAATTCCTCCTTGCTGAGAGGAGGGCAGAAAAGTTGCTTCTGTTTTTCAGAGCAGGCGAGGAAGCAGCCTCAGTTCTCACAAAGACCAGCAGCTCCTGGGGAGCGGGAGAGGCAGGAGCGCAGCTCCGTCCTGCCATCTCCTGCCACGCCGGCTCACTGCAGCGCAGCCCGCGCAGGCACGGCTCCAATTTATCTGCAAGTAGAGACACAGCCCCGCTTTTCCAACCAGCTGCTCACCCAGTTACTTTGAACAGCTTCTCATCAGGCATATTTGGCTTTTCGATGCCCTCCTTCGAAGCGGAAAGATATCGCCCTCCCTGGGATCCCAATACCTCATCGCACACCCTCACCCCGAGCAGGCTGTGGACTCCAATCCTAAATCTACCACAGGATGTTGCGAAACTCCCTTTTTCGGATGGGAAAACCAAGACAGCCAGGACCTAGCGATCTGTAGCAGCGCAACAACTAGGAGGCAGATGCCAAACGATGCCTGAGTCCCAGAGCACTGGCGGCACGCTTCATTGAGTAAGAGGCTATTAGAGAGATTGCCTGTTTCTTAAAAGGCCGTGAGGTTTTATGGGCTACAACAGCCACGTAAAAACATGCGGAGAAGTCGCGTTTTTATAGCCTCATCCATTTCGCTGGATGTTTTTTGGAATGCTGATTGAAAAAGAGATCCTACTTTCACATGGAAGAGAAATAGGTGAAGCGGCAGCGTGCCCCATCCTGCTTCAGATTGTGCAGGGCAGGCTTTGAGGGTGCTCTTACAGGCAATTCCTCCCCTTTTAACAAGCCTTAAATTTTGCCCCCAGAATTCACTTCACTGGCCCTGTAACGCCTGAAATCTTTCCAACAGTGGGACAAGAAGATGCCTCACACCAGACGTGCTTCTGCTGGACATGAGCCTTTTCAACCCCCTCTCTTGGTTCTGCAGTGAGCTGCTCTCCCCTGCGTGGCAGCTGCCTGTTGCCTAATCCAAAAAAAAACCCCAAAACCCCCAAAAAACCACACCTGTGCAAAAGTATTCCAAAGAGTGTTTAGGTCAAATGGCCAAAACGCCACTCTTGAGCAGGTTTTTCATTCTCCCTTCTAGTGCTTTCACGAGAAGTAATACTTGAGTTACAACAGGCTCCTTGGGAAGGTTCCTCCTCTTAATACACCAAAGGGTGCCCGGTAAACAGAAAACTAAGAAAAGATTTGGCCTACAGCAGAAAATTACCTTAGCGCAGGCATCTGGGAAAGGAAAAAAGGAGAAAAAGGGTTTGGCACATTGTTGTCAAGGCCCCGAGACTGTTCCTTGAAAGGAAATCCCTGATTTCTCATTTCTTCAATGTTTCCCTAAACGAGCCACTGGCCATCGTATTTGAGAAGTCGTGTCAGTCTGGCGAGGTTCCCACAGATTGGAAAAGGGGGAACATAATCCCCATCTTTAAAAAAGGAACCAAAGACAACCCGGGAAACTACAGACCAGTCAGCCTGACCTCTGTGCCAGGTGAAATCATGGAACAGATTCTCCTGTAGCTGTGCTAAGGCACATAAAAAATAACCAAGTGGTTGGTGACAGCCAACATGGCTTCACTGGGGGCAAGTCGTGCCTGACTAATTTAGTGGCCTTCTACGACAGAGCTACAGCGCTGGTTGACATGGGAAAAGCAACAGATGTCATTTTCCTGGACTTGTGCAAGGCGTTTGACACTGTCCCACATGACATCCTTGTCTCTAAAATGGAGAGAAATGGATTGGACAGATGCACCACTCGGTGGGTAAAGAACTGGCTGGATG